CAAAAAATATATTGCAGGGGTCTCCAAACTTGGTCCTGGAGGGCTGGTGTCCTGCAGAGTTTAGCTCCAACCCACACACCTGAACCAGCTAATTAAGGTTGTACTAGGCGTACTAGAAACTTCCAGGCAGGTGTGTTGAGTTAAATTAGGGCTAAACTTTGCAGGATACCGGCCCTCCAGAACCGAGTTTGGAGACCCCTGATCTATTAAAATAATGTCTAAATAATGCAAACAATTCATTGGACATTATTACAAGGCTACATATAAAAATGCATGTGCCATGGATAAATAAAATGGAATAGCCGGACAATAAGGAAATTATTTGAATCAAATATGTAATAAATCAATCTGACACTTGAGAGTTGTGAGCTGTTTGAGGCGGCTGTGCGCGCTTTGACTGAGAGCGCATTAAAGACAGTCTCTCAGAGAATGCGTGAGTAGGGGAAAGTTGGGACGGTTGCAACACTTTTTCCATTTCTTTTACTTTCTCAGAGACTATAAAAAGGAGCCATACCTAACTATTGAAAGGGGTTCTTTATTAATCCATAAAATTACATTTATGTAATGTTGTGGGAAGCTTTTACATCAATGTTGTGGTAAGGGACAGCATGTTGGGATGTTTGCAACAACGTTTATCTTTGACACATGTTAGATATGCCTATTATTAACTAAGAAAACACAGATTAAAATATGACTTTACAATGCTTCAAACAAAAATTTAAGTATGACAAAAAAATCTGATCATTAAAAAAATACTTTTGTACCATGAAAATAATTTTTTATAGAAGGAATAGTCGCCATATGGCTGATTTCTTCCAGGAAGCATAAGGGGCTAATTGAGCATGTGTAGTATGTATTTCACCACTGTAGCTCATTATTGATTGATGAAATAAGCCATGTTGCAACTGTCCCCACTCTCCCTTACTTTATGGGTTAAAATAGCTTGAATGTTTAAATTGGCATGACTTAAAATGACGTGCAAGTGACAAGTCCGTCAACTGTCTGAAATGCGCGCTAGTCTTATATTGCAGCGTGCAGCTCGCTTGCAGACCAAACTCAACGTGGATATTACGGATGTGAAGCCATTTGTGTATTTTGAGGGAGTGGCAGAAGACGCGGTACCACTCAATCCCAATCACTCACACAGATTGTGAAATTCTGTCTCACAGAAAGCTTTATAATGACTAATCTGCTCTGATAATCTGTTTGGATTCAAACTATAGTTTTAATCAACTGCTATAGTGCAGAAATGTTTGCGGGAATTTCCCGCTTTATAATCGCAAATTCTGCGGGAATGTGTAGAATTACACACAATGCCCGCAATCCCACAGCGAAATTCAGGCCCTGATTATATTGCACAAAATCAAGCACAAGTGAACTTGAACTAAGTTACTTAGTCAGAATGTGTAACTCCTTCTGTGGACACACTTTTTGTAACAACACGCTGAAAACGTCAGCTAAACTCTAAGAATTCACAAATTTTTTTACGACGGTGCTCTCATTTTAACGTTATGTTTATGCCGTGCTTTACTCCAGCGTAACTCAACCAAATGCATCTTATATGAGATAAATAATTACACCCCTGTTTGTTATGTATATAATTCTTGTACTGTACTTTATGTGAAACAGTTTGCAGCTTGCAAACAGTCTTTATTAGAAACATGGACACAAAACTCTGAAATACTTGATTCTGATTGGTTAGTTGTGGTATTCAGTGGTAGGGCTGGTTGATGCATCAAATATTAACATATTATCGCAGTATCTTTGCTGACTTTAAATTTAGAGAATTTTGTAAATTTCATGATAATGTTAAAAGTTTAGCTTATAAATACAGTAAGCCAGTTTCACTCACCTTTTTTGTCTCACAAGTATGACAAATATGGAAGCATTTGAAAGCAGCTGATTGGCAGTGCGTAATATCAGAGTCCCTTTAAGGCAAGACATTCTGTGGCCATCTTTGCAACGTGCCTCGGGCAACTATTTGTTCTTTAAATGGGGAAACATCACAAACTCCAAAGCTGTTCACCAAACTTACAATTTCATATTTGAGCGGTACATTCATAAATTCATAAGATCTTACCCTCATGCTGGTGTATAGTAACCGGAACTTCTAACGGCAGCTGCAGTGATGCGATGACTTTACCAATTAGCGATTGGCAGGACTAAAGTCAGGACTATTCTGCCATATTGTGCCTCGCACTTTCTCCCATTCATAAGTAATATGATAACTTTGTATCTTTGTATACCTACAGTCTTTGGCAGTGTTAGCAATAGTACCTATTTGTATGAGCATTCTGTTAAGGGCATCAAAGGCTTCAGTTTACAATGTTTTTTGCAGCATTGAGCACTGTAGACAATCAGACATACAGTATATGCTGAGTACATTAATGCAATGATGAAACGAATGTGCTTGTTAGTCAGAATCCCCTCAATGCTCCGCTTGAGCTCATAGAGTGAATTCTGCATGCTCACTAATTGTTTCATTATAACCAACAAAGTGTAAACATGATGCAGATGAGAGATTAATTGTGCAGTGTAAACAGCTTTTTTTGATTATAACAGGAAATTTCTCAAGAGTGTGTAACTCAGTGAGATTCCACTGAACTGAAGTCATTCACCGCTTCAGTGATTATGAAGCACATGCTCTTTGTTCACTTTTTGAAGAAAACCCATTCACTGTTTGAAGAAAAGTTTTAACCACTCACTACAAACTGCAAAGTTATGGGAGTAACCGCTGTATTTAAATTCATAACTTGAAATTGCAGTGATTGACAAAGTGATAACCATAGCAACAGATGACACAAAAATATGTCAATGTCTGTAAATTAAGTTTTGAAGTGTAAATGAAAATCACAGACGTCACTTTTTCTGTTACAGTATCTCACAGAAGTGAGTACACCCCTCACATTTTTGTAAATATTTTATTATATCTTTTCATGTGACAACACTGAAGAAATGACACTTTGCTACAATGTAAAGTAGTGAGTGTACAGCTTGTATAACAGTGTAAATTTGCTGTCCCCTCAAAATAACTCAACACACAGCCATTAATGTCTAAACCGCTGGCCACAAAAGTGAGTACACCCCTAAGTGAAAATGTCCAAATTGGGCCCAAAGTGTCAATATTTTGTGTGCCCACCATTATTTTCCAGCACTGCCTTAACCCTCTTGGGCATGGAGTTCACCAGAGCTTCACAGGTTGCCACTGGAGTCCTCTTCCACTCCTCCATGTCGACATCACTGAGCTGGTGGATGTTAGAGACCTTGAGATGCTCAATTGGGTTTAGGTGAACACCAAATTTAACACACCTGCTCCCCATTCACACCTGAGACCTTGTAACACTAATGAGACACCGGGGAAAGAAAATGGCTAATTGGGCCTAATTTGAACATTTTCACTTAGGGGTGTACTCACTTTTGTGGCAAGCGGTTTAGACATTAATGGCTGTGTGTTGAGTTATTTTGAGGGGACAGCTAATTTACACTGTTATACAAGCTGTACACTCACTACTTTACATTGTAGCAAAGTTTCATTTCTTCAGTGATGTTACAAAAATGTGAGGGGCGTACTCACTTCTGTGAGATACTGTAAGTGTAATATGCTTTATTATTCATTTTATTACTAACTTGAACACTTTATTTTTTAAGCAATGTTTACTTAGTTAAAAACTATTTGAATTATTTTGATTATTAATTTAAAATATTACTTTACTTTAATTATGGGTACATTTGTATGGTCTTGTAAATAAATTTTTTTTGAAGTGTCTCTTGGTTTGGGGTTATTATTTGAATTAGGTTAGAATTTATGCTTTTTTTTGCCTTTGAGTTTATCTCTCCCTCAAGGGTTGAAGTTACATTTTGTTGAGAGATGTAATTTGTAATTTTCAGGAGTTGCTTTTAGCCTCAGGTTGGTTTCTTTAATTTACTTATTCATTTGGGACAATATTTTGCATGCCTGCCCCTGTATGTTTTTTTTGTAATCTAATTTCTATCCCTTTTTCAACAACTCATGTCCTGAGTGTATCACTTGGCCAGATTTATTACAGTAACCAGACTGGAAAAAAGACTCCTTAAAACAAATGTTGTCCTATTGTAACCATTTTCTGGAATTAGTTTTTGAAAGGGACATTGCACATAAGTGAAGCTGTTTCAGATTACGTCTATGGCTGCCAAATTGATCTCTGGTGGTCTGAAAAGCTTTTTCTCTTAGAGAGACAGTAATTGTACTATATCACTGTTCAAAAAATACCAATGTTGTTGTTCCTCAAAAAAATACAAAATAAAGACATTTACTTTGACTTTCTTTTGCTGAAAGTACTTTAAGCTTGTTAAATGTGAATCAGACCAGCCAGGTTTATATAGATGGCTCTGTTCAAGCCTGCGGTTCCTCTGAGATTCATTAAATGATAATGGACTGATAGGAGCGTTCAGACTTTGTCTTTTGGAGCCATGTTGTTGGGGTTATCTAGGTTACCCAGTGCCAGGTCATCCAGCTTTCAGAGTGCAACAACAAAGAAACTGATTCTCCCTTTCCTTTTCGCTCACCAGTCTGTATTTAGACTGTACCGATTGTTGCTGTTTTTTCTATAGTGTTTTGAAGTGCTGTAATAATGCTTCCCAGTCAGAGCTTTATGTTTCACAAGGCTAATGTGTTTTGAGGCAAAATCTGCAGAGGCTCCCCTTACGGCTGTGTTATAAATGCCTTCCCCTTTCACGTCACCTTCATTTTAAAGAAATTAATGTTGGGCTGGTATTTTAAGCCTCACATAGTTCTCTTTATTAGTTCTGTGGTGCTACACAAATGAAAATGTCAGCGGTATAAAACAGTAACCCTTATTGAAAGAATGAAGACAGGTGTGGGACATTAAATCCCACTGAGATATTGAGTCTTATTGTTCAGAAGCCATGTTTTTTTCTGAGTCTGGTGAGGACAAAAGCCATTGTTCATTTTGAGTAGGTTTTGATACCCTTATAACATCGATTTTTTTTTCTCTCCTTAGCTGAACTGCGGCAAGCCATTGTGGCCATGATGAACAGGAAAGATGAACTCACTGAGCAGAACACGTAAGAGTTTACTGGTGATCATTATGGACCGATAGTTTTCGTTTATTCATGAAACATGAGCCTTACAAATTTGTATTGTATTTTTTATCAAATAAATGCAGTCTTGGTGAGCATTCTTTTAGAAACATTACCAACCCCAATTATATTTTTTTTTCTCTCCTTAGCTGAACTGCGGCAAGCCATTGTGGCCATGATGAACAGGAAAGATGAACTCACTGAGCAGAACACGTAAGAGTTTACTGATTGCAGTGATCATTATGGACCGATAGTTTTCGTTTATTCATGAAACATGAGCCTTACAAATTTGTATTGTATTTTTTATCAAATAAATGCAGTCTTGGTGAGCATTCTTTTAGTAACATTACCAACCCCAATTATTTGAACTGTTGTGTATATCAGGGTTTTTAACTTTATTTAAGAAATAGAATACTACTGAGATTTCACTGACTCGAATTTCATTGAGTGTCGAACCTTTTTTGTACCCTATTTGTGAAACGTGCCATGATGTGCAGCTGGGTAATTATCATATGCACTTCTAGTCATTAAAGACAGCTAAGGAAAAGTGGGTCAGATGTGTGTGTGTGTGTCTTACTGTTGTTATACTCTTTGGCACAGGTCTCTGCGCAGTCTCCTGGATGGAGAGATGGAGCACTCTGCTGGGCTCAGGCAGGAGGTGGACAGCTTGAAGAAGAGACTGGCTGAACTAGAGGAGAGACATGCAGCCAAAGTCCAAGCTCTCATGAGGTAATGTCACTAGAAACTAATCGAATAGTCTCACATAGGCTGACTATCAGACTAGTCCACATTGCATTTTAAACCAAACACCACCTACTTATACAGAAAACAGCTATCTGGCCTGCATGTGAAGCACTGTAGATTTTTTTTTTGTTCAAGGCAAAGAAAACCTAAAAATTGGTTATAGACTCTAGCTACTTCTAACTGTTCAGCAGTCTAACACCGTGTCTACACCGATGCGACAGTTGTCTCGCCGCACTGCAACAGATAAAGTCTACACTGGATGCGACAAAGCGACCGTTGCAAATCTTTTTAATATTGTGGCAGTACGTCATAAATAGAATGAGGCAACAGTTTACTGTCGGGGATCTGTTGTGTCGCGCCGCGCGGAATTCAGTGTAGACAGCATCACTGATTATAATGGGGTCTATAGTATTTTGTCGCGTCGTGCTGCTCGCATCTGGTCAAGACATGGTGTAAGTAAATAAGCAAAAATGAAGTTTTGATATATTTACGGTAGGAAATTTACTAAATATCTTCATGGAACATGATCTTCACTTAATATTCTAATGATTTTTTAGCATAAAAGAAAAATCTATAATTTTGACCCATACTATGTATTTTTGGCTATTGCTACAAATATACCCAGCGACTTAAGACTGGTTTTGTGGTACAGGGTCACATATGAGGACACTCACTTTATTTTGATTTATGAATGTGTCATGATCCTAAAGAGAGATATACCTGTTAGAGACTAGCTACAGGCTTAATATGAAATGAGGGTTTAGTATTTAGGGTTTTCGGATGTATTTGACTAAGGTGTCTTATGCTCCCTGAGGCTGCACTTATTTGAGCATAAATACAGTAAAAACAACCATATTGTGAAATTTTATTTCAATTTATAGTAACTGTTTTCTATTTCAGTACATTTACATTTAAAATGTAATTTAGCTGAACCATTGATGAGCCATTACTTCAGTGTCACATGATCCTTAAGAAATCATTTTAATATGATATATATATATATATTTACTGACCACAAACTTTTAAATGATAGTGTACTTTGTTTGCAGTCCTTGTGTAGTTCTTACACCTTATATACTTTATTTGTCCTTTTTTATTACATTTTTTAAATGCTTTCTTTATGATCAAATCAATGTGGTGATCATATTTTGTGTTGTGGTCTTTTAAGTAAGGCTTATAACTCTTTGTTGAAGCATTTTAAAATGCCTATGTTGAAAATCAATGCCAGAAAAGGTCTGTTGCTGAGACAAACCAAAGAATGACATACAGTATGTTAACACTATTGCAGTTATTCACTATAAGATGATCAGAAACCATTAAGCATTTTGTGTATTAATTCACTTCAAGTATGAGCGTCATCAAATTGATTACCACTATTTAAGTAAAACATATTTTTCTAACAAGAATCTGTCTCGTTGCTTCCTGTCTCAGAGTCTTGCAAACTCAAATGTTAAGAGTCCAGTCAGTTTTTCTGTCTCAAACCTAATCTGTCCCAGTCAATAGAGACTAAAAATAAGGTGTGGAAACACTCGGTGCGGCTGTGTGCTCAGAGGAAGCACCTATGAGCCGTGCTCTTGGGATTAGCTCCATTGATTCAGCCCGGCTCAGTGGGCAGTATTTAAGAAGTTGGATCCATACAGCAAGAGGCCAAAATGCTCTCACACTCACACTCAGGCTCTTGTCAGCACAAAGCTCTCCCACGCCGTCACGTCCAAGTTCAACCGGACGAGCAGAAACAGACGAAGGGATGGTTGTGGCAACGTCTGACAGTCAGAATAATACTTTACTGAATGCTGCGGAGCTGCCAGGGTTTTTGTCTTCCTGAAGTGCTGCTGCATTATTGGAAGCGACATCTTGCTTTTGTGAGCATTTCATCAGCTCTAATGTAGTGGTTCCTCAGGGGGATAATGTGGGGAGTGAATGAACAAATTAATTTAGCTCAGTAGGAGGACAGCGGCCGAGAGCAGGAGGCAGGCTTGTCAGTATGACGCTGTGTCAAAGAGAGGATTATGGGGGAGAATACCACACTCGCTATCATGCTGGTGACATCTGCATCATGCCTGGATGGTGCATCCCTCCACTTGCTCTTCGTCAGCCTGTTTAGACAAACTGACACAGGGTTGGCCTTGTTTACAAGTCAATTCAATTATGTATCTGAATAATAGCAGCTGCTGCATAATGCCAGTTCTGTGTTTGACTTTTTATTTACCTGTAGCCTTAAGGAAATGGAAATGGGTTATGGAAAGGGCATTTAGACTGCTGTCATGCATAGTCATGTCTAGGCCGTACATTTGCAGTGCTGAAGGAGCATCTGTCGATTCCAGTGGAATAAAATTTTGCATTCAGCATGGTTGATTTAAGTTGGTGAGGCACCACATACCTCTAGAACAGGGAATCCCAAACTACTACTTTAGCAAGGGTTTTATTTTAATAGTTTTTGTTCTACAAATATTTTTTTATTTTTTTTTATTTTTATGATTTAATAAGAAAAATATTTTCAATAGAACAAGATCATAAGAAACTATTTTATTCAGAAATTAATTATGTATTTATTGTAATTTAATCAGAAAGGCATTTGGCAATTAAAGTACAATAAATAACTATTAAATTAAATAATGACTTGATGCAGAAGATATTTCAATTAAACAATATTATGCAAAAAAAAAAAATAAATAATAAGATTCTAAAACTAATTGATCATCTGTGATTTTATAATTTATGCATCAGAAAGTTAAATAAGCCAAAATACATAATAAACAATTATTACATTTATAGAAATGTCTGATTTTATATTACAGTTCTGTGGAACTTTCTACTGAATGCATAAAAAATAGAAATAGAATTTTAAACACATAGAATACATGATTGAATTTTTAGGAATAATGGGCATTATGGTTTTGTGGAACTTTGAGTTCTGCAACCAGGAGGTTGTCTAGCAAATCCTTTGTAGCTCATGCTTTTAATAGTTTTTCTATGAACCAATTTCCCTACTAGATTTACATTTAGGTGGTTCATTGTGGAAGAATGGATTTTAAAAGAAAACTTTTCTCTTCTGGGTGCACATGAGTACATGTGTAGGGCACATAGTAAAAGAAAGATGTATTTCAGGTATTAATATGTCACAAGTGTGTTTAAGTTAAATGATTTAATTAAAGCTATTGTTACAGGACTTTAAAGTGAGAAAACGTTGACCTGGTGTATTAAGAACAGTGGCTTTTTTGTGATATGGATAATTGATTTATATACACGCGCATTAATGCAACTATTACTTTGAAGAGAATGACATTATGTGTATGTTCAAGGTGGCACTCATTAAGTAGAGCACTAAATGACCCATAAGCCCTTCAGAGGCACACCAGCAGTCCCCCTCTTGTGCTAGATGTTAGTCTTCTAATATGAATACACTAGCATGTGTGCATACTGTGACTCACTCTGTGGGGGCAATGGAAAAGATCAATGTGGCACACCTGACTTGCCGAGTCCTCCCTATAGAGAAGCTGTCACTTATTAACTTTAATTAAATCGCCGCGGAATTGTGTGCAGCTCGCCGGTGCGAAAAACGACAGAGTCCCCTCCTTTTGAGAGCCTGCCAAACACCTTTGGATCTCCTTCATTCTCTCCCTCTATTGTAGGGTATGCAATGGGCAGTGATAAGCGAGTTACAAAAGGCATCCTGTAGGAATAGGAAGAGATGTTTTTCACAGAAACACAACCTGGATTGATTCTGATTGATTTTCCCAAACCACCAGTAGCAAGCCTTGTAAGCAAGCTCGCATACGCACGCACACACATCTCGCTCCCCAGAACAGCCTTATTAAACTGTGTAAAGCAGTTCCTGGAATTGAATTCAGTGGGGGGCTTGCTGTGGGAGTCTCTCAGTGGGCTCCTCATGCATACTGCACATACATCCTGAATGTCAGGATAGTGTTGGATGATGTTAGTATATCTTTTTATGCATTATTTTCTTGTAATGTCTAACTGTATTAAATTAGTTTCAGTCTGTTTAATGTTATGGAAGATGCAAGCTGTTTATTTATTTTATTTATTTCCTTTGTTTAGCTAGTAAAATCTCATTGAGATATTGAAATCTCTTCTTCCAGAAAGACCTGGTCAAGACAGCAACACAAAGTTTCACACAAGACGGATCATAAAGCAACATTACAAATACTCATATACAGTCACTAAATAAAGAAACATAAAGAAAAACAATTACAAATCTTCAATAAAAGAGTTTGCAAAAGACATTTAAATTTATTCAAGGGTGGAAAGAATTTTAAACACATAGAATACATGATTGAATTTTTAGGAATAATGGGCATTATGGTTTTGTGGAACTTTGAGTTCTGCAACCAGGAGGTTGTCTAGCAAATCCTTTGTAGCTCATGCTTTTAATAGTTTTTCTATGAACCAATTTCCCTACTAGATTTACATTTAGGTGGTTCATTGTGGAAGAATGGATTTTAAAAGAAAACTTTTCTCTTCTGGGTGCACATGAGTACATGTGTAGGGCACATAGTAAAAGAAAGATGTATTTCAGGTATTAATATGTCACAAGTGTGTTTAAGTTAAATGATTTAATTAAAGCTATTGTTACAGGACTTTAAAGTGAGAAAACGTTGACCTGGTGTATTAAGAACAGTGGCTTTTTTGTGATATGGATAATTGATTTATATACACGCGCATTAATGCAACTATTACTTTGAAGAGAATGACATTATGTGTATGTTCAAGGTGGCACTCATTAAGTAGAGCACTAAATGACCCATAAGCCCTTCAGAGGCACACCAGCAGTCCCCCTCTTGTGCTAGATGTTAGTCTTCTAATATGAATACACTAGCATGTGTGCATACTGTGACTCACTCTGTGGGGGCAATGGAAAAGATCAATGTGGCACACCTGACTTGCCGAGTCCTCCCTATAGAGAAGCTGTCACTTATTAACTTTAATTAAATCGCCGCGGAATTGTGTGCAGCTCGCCGGTGCAA